ATTCCACCGCTAGTCACTATCCATCTTTGTTCATAATGCTTGTGAATTAAGGCTTTATCATGGCAATCCTTACAGGATGCACCTATACCAATAAGAGACTGATCAGTTGTAGTCCTAAACATCAATGCGAAGATACAAGAAAACAAAACCAGGTCAATAGATATAGATTCTTAAAATGGTTACAAGATGCCTGCCGAATTATATACTAGTCAAGTTGATACAAAGAATCATGGTTCATGTAAAATAGAGAGGGAAAACATGGTTAAATAGTTTGGGACGATGAGATTTATAAGTTGTTTTAGACGGTTATTTGTTGTTAAGATTACAGTCATGTGACATAGCAGTTGGGAAGCATCAATTCTTTGTAAGGTAGATTAAGACTTCGGCGAGACTATAATTTATGGATGAACTAATCAGGTATAAGATATCACGTCTTGGATTTTGATACTAAATTCACTCATCCATCTGGTTAAGTAGGGTTTCGGGATTATATCTGATGTCAGTTCGTGATGAAAACCTACTTACTTACTTTACTTACTCCTGTTACTCCCAATGGAGCATAGGCCGTCGACCAGCATTCTTCAAACCACTCTGTCCTAGGCCTTTATTCTAGTTTTGTCCTGTTTTTGTTCATTCTTCTCATGTCTGCCTCTATTTCTCGGAGTAATGTGTTCTTTCATCTTCTACTTCTCCTTTGGCCGTCAGGATTCCATGTGAGGGCTTGTCTAGTTATGCAATTAGGTGATTTCCTCAAGGTGTGCCTAATCCACTTCCAGTGCTTCTTCCTGATTTCTTCCTCCACTGGAATCTGGTTTGTTCTCTCCCACAGTAGTTTGTTGCTGATTGTGTCCTGCCAACAGATCAGAAGTATTTTGCGTAGACAACTGTTAATAAACACTTGTATCTTTTGGATGATAGCTTTCATAGTTCTTCAGGTTTCCACCCTATACAATAGAACTGTCTTGACATTTGTATCGAAAATTCTGATTTTGGTGTTGGTTGAGAGTTGTTTAAAGCTACGGATGTTATTCTGTTGTAAATATGTTGCCTTTGCTTTGCCGATCCGCGCATTCACATCTGCATCAGATCTACCGTGTTCATCGATATCGCTACCCAAATATATAAGGGTTTTCACATCCTTCAAAGCTTCTCCGTCAACTGTAATTCGGTCGGTGCATGCTGTATTGTATCAGAGAATCTTGCTTTTCTCTTTGTTTATATTGAGACCTACTGCTGCTGACGTCGGGATGAAAAACCCTAAACCTAATCCCTAACCTTAATTATTAACTGTAAATCATAATTCTAATTTCTCACATTGGTTTGTGACCTTCATTTGGTTCTAAGTATTAAGTGGACACTCTCATGGTCACTCTAGCGTCACTCAAGAGTCGTTCATAAGTTATTGTCTTATAAGATTTCTTGTTGTTCTATGAATACGGTTGTTATAATTTACAACTGGAGGAATAAACGAATACAGAAAACATAACAAAATCAGTAGAAATTACTTTGATATGTTCACTGTCATACAAGTTCTAATATTTTTGATGATCCATTGACTTAGATAGGTTTTACTTGAATTAACCAAGGTAAACAGGGGTAATGTAAGTGTAAAAATGCTGCAAAATAGTAATTTTAGTAAGTATGCTCAGTAAGGTGGTTGATGGATATGTAGGTTCCATCTAGGGGAGTTGGAAAAACCCTGATTTCAAACCAATAGTGCACACAGGCTCAAGGATCTTGAGGGAACGAATGGCACTAGCTACCATGAGATTGTATCTCCTGATGTTGCTCCACTGTCTTGTGGATCAGACTTTTAAGTCGAAGGCTCCGAGTGTGGCTCCCTAAGGAAATTAATTGCTTCGGTTTGGCCACGCGGACGGTATCACAGCCCGCACACAAATCAAGTGACTTGTGTAACGCATATGTATTCAGTGCCCCCTTTATACTAGGTGTAAGTATTTTTAACGCAGTTTCGAAGGAGAGATAACCATTGATGTAGCGAGAAAATGGCAGTGATTTTATTAAGTAGATTGATTGAGGCGAACTATTCCAGAGTCTCAAAAGTTTTCTTGAATAGTATTGCAACAATGAATGTAGAAGATAGTCTATTTAGTATTTTGCTCTAGTCTATGCTTCCTTAAGGAGCTAAGTCCAAGCTCAATGCATTTGGACTTGAAGTTTTAAGTAGAATCATTACCAAGAATCTGAAATACAAATCACCGTTGAAGGTAATCCAACCTAACTTTATCCTTTATGCAGACATTGCTCAGAATAAAAGTGCAGTATTCTATGATCGGTCAGAAACATGAGTTATCGTTGAGACTTAGAAGTGTGTGTGAAAACCTATTCTGAGAAGGACAAAATGTGAGAATATCTGAAATTGTATTAAACCTCGATAACACCTTTCCGTTTATAGGGTAGTCGAAATGGTAAAAAAGTTCACCAAAGCAAATCAGTTTTTACTTAGCAGTGTTTACCTATAGCTTCCATTTCGATCAACACACATGGACCATATTGATCATGATAATGACGCAGCATTAGAGTTTTCTTAACGAGTTAGTTTTCTACGGGATGAGGTCCCTAAACCCATGCCCAACCCTCTTCATTTATCCGGGCTTGGGACCGGCAGTAACCTCAGAGGAGCTCCAGGTGGAGTTTTTGAAACGAGTGAAAGTGTAAAGTTCTTTGTAAATTAAAATGAATTTTATTAATAACTATAAAGTTAGTGTATATGGACTGATTGACTGAGTTTGACAAATAAACTCTTGACAGAATTCATTCTGGAGCATACTAGTTGTATTGAATGAAAGAGAGTGTTGTTTACGACACTGATACACCTTCCTGTAAACGAGCAGGTGAAGTGACATATCGACATATAGTTAACTGAATTGTTGAGTGTACTTTATGTTTCCATTGTTAATTTTCAGAAGAAACTCAAAAGAAATCCCCTAACTATAATTCTATTTTGTTCTTTAAACAAATCGACAGACTACACTTCAAAGTGATGCATAAAGGACAGCTGAGAGGTGCATTCCAAATAAAGATCGGAGCCTGCTCTCCCACTTCCTCTTCCTTGTGATGGTGGTCGACTGGATTATGAAGACCTCGACATCTGACGGGAAGCATAAAATAAAATGAACAGGTTGAATGCAACCAGATGATTTAGATTTGGTAGATGATCTAGTTCTTCTATTCCGTACAAACCAACGAATGCAGGTCAAGACAAACAGAGTAGCGGAACTCTCTGCATCAATAGGTCTCAACGTACACAAGGGGAAAACCAAGGTCCTCATATACAACACAGAGAACACTATCCCAATCACACATAATATAAAAACTGTGGAAGAGGTGGAATATTTCACGTACTGACTGAATAGCATCACCGATGAACGTGGAGGATGTGATTCAGACGTAAATGCGAGTATTTCCAAAGCAAGGACAATATTTCTACAGTTGAACAAAATATATACAGCTCAAACCAACTGTCTACAAATTAACATCAATGTCAAAATCTCCAATACGAACGTCAACACAGTTAGTTCTATAGAACAGAGCTGAAACTTGGACAACTACCACAACCATTATCGAATTGGTACAAGTATTTATAAACAATTGTCTATGCAAGATGCTCAATATCTGCTGACCGGAAAATATCAGCAACAGTCTACTATGGGAGAGAAGAAACGAACTTTCAGGTGAAGACGAAATTAGGAAAAGGGGTTTGAAGTGGATAGGACACATATTGAGGAAATCATCAAACTTCATCACGAAGCAATCACGAACTTGAAATGCTGAAGGGAAACATAAGAGAGGAAGGTTAAAGAACACACTGTGCCGAGAATTGGAAACAGGTATGAATAGAATAAATAGCAACTGGAAAATATTGCTCATGACAGAGTTGAATGTAGAATACTCGTGGTTGGCATATACTCCTCGATAAAGAGTAACAGGCTAAAGTCTTTAAACAAACATCGGAATACTTGACCCCAGATTTCGAATTTGTGAAGGTATATCCTTTTTCAAAATTTATTCATCATTCCTATTGATAAATAACAATGTTAAATAAACAATCTTAATTTCTATTAAATTAACTATCATCAATTATACACACTGATATGATCGATCACTGGGGTGGTGATCAATGTCGACGTATGTCAAGTCCTTCTTAGTGCAGATCGAATGCTATAGATTAAGTTGCCCGGATAGCTCATTGGTAACATCTCTGACTGTGAAGCTTGCTGACACGGGATCGAATCCGTTAAGGAGCATCCATTCCCTCAAGATTACAGATACACCTTACTGACAAGTTTAAAGTAGCACGAAATCCTAATTCAGGGTTTTCTGTTGACCACTTCCAACCACTATCTTAAATACAAATAACTTTAAATGATTAAAATGTAAACTTTAGTCTTACATACAACATTTATTGATAAAATGAATGATCGTGGATCGTGGATGCGCACTACCACTGAAGAGTCCCATAATAGAACGAAACGGCCGTCCAATGCTTCCAGGTTTTCCATGGTGATCTAGCTTCAATTGACTCATGATTTCAACTATAAAAATACTAAATTCTCCACAAAATCCTTTCTGATCTATAATCATCGTAATCTATCACTAGTGACTGACTTCAAGAGATATTTCCTGAGTTCTAGTGAGAAGCAGTGACCAGTGGAGTTCAATCAGGTCTGTTGTGAGATATCAACTCACTAAAGACAATTAATGAACGGTTGCTCAAACTTGGTGGATAGGTTGGAGTTAGACATTAACACCGTTGGATGCCGACTTAGTACTCTGACGCGAGACTAATAGATCCTGAGTTGGAATCTCATCAGTGCGGGATCGTTGTTGCTCACGCCACTGAGGAGTCCCACAATAGAACGAAACGGTCATCCAGTGTTTCCAGGTTTTTCCACGGTGGTCTAGCTTTAATTAACTCATGATTTCAACTATGAAAATGAATGAAAAACAAAACAAACAAAAAAAGTACCATTAGAAAAATGTTAAATCTTATCATTTTATTGAACATTGAAACACAACAACAACAAACAATGAATCACTTGACAAATGTCCATATTGTAACTAAATGGTCTACTAATAATAATATTAGAAACAAAATTGATGTTTATTACATATCAGTTAATGATTATCACCATGATAATAATGTTGTCAGCTTAGTAACTAACTATCATAATGACTAGTACACATTGGAATGTATGTAACATTTATGTCATAGTTATTCACATTTAAGCACCATATACTAGATTAGTCACATACGGGTAGTGTGATACTAAAATATTATTACTACCATTACTATTACTACTACTACTACTGCTACTACTACTACGACCACTACTACCACTACTACTACTACTACTACTACTACTACTACGACTACTACTACTACTACTACTACTACTACTACTATTACCACTACTACGACTACTACTACTACTATTACCACTACTACTACGACTACTACTACTACTACTACTACTACTACTACTACGACTACTACTACTACTACTACTACTACTACTACGACTACTACTACTACTACTACTACTACTACTACTATTACCACTACTACGACTACTACTACTACTATTACCACTACTACTACGACTACTACTACTACTACTACTACTACGACTACTACTACTACTACTACTACTACGACTACTACTACTACTATTACCACTACTACTACGACTACTACTACTACTACTACTACGACTACTACTACTACTACTACTACTACTACGACTACTACTACTACTACGACTACTACTACGACTACTACTACGACTACTACTACTACTACGACTACTACTACTACTACTACTACTACTACTACTACTATTACTACGACTACTACTACTACTGCTACTACGACCACTACTACCACTACTACTACTACTATTACTACTATTATTATTATTATTATGAATGTCACCCTATAATAAATAAACATTAATTTGATAGTTAAAATGATTATTATATTTGAATGAATCCAAATAAATCACTAATCTAACCCACCCATGAAGTGAATGAATTTGATTATTATTAAGTTAAACAAATCAGTTTATAACGATTGAGAGAAAAACAACAACAACAAAGAACCCGACTGAATTGAACATTGAATGTTGTTTACAAAAACAACTTTTTTTTATATTTTTAGATTCAATAATGAAGTGAACGAATATTCAAGGGGGGGGGATAACCAATTTATTGTTTAATACATTATTTATAGTTGAAATCATGAGTTAATTGAAGTTAGATCACCATGGAAAACCTAGAAGCATTGGATGGCTGTTTCGTTCTATTATGGGACTCCTGAGCAGTGTGCATCCACGATCTCGCACTCGCAAGATTTCAACTCAGGATCGACCAGTCTCGCACGAGAGCACTTAACCGATAGACCACTAAGCAAGCCGACATCCAACAGTGTTAATGTCTAACTCCAACCAATCCACCAAGTTTGAGCAACCGTTCATTAATTGTCTTTAGTGAGTTGATATCTCACAACAGACCTGATTGAACTCCACTGGTCACTGCTTCTCACTAGAACTCAGGAAATATCTCTTGAAGTCAGTCACTAGTGATAGATTACGATGATTATAGATCAGAAAGGGTTTTGTGGAGAATTTAGTATTTTTATAGTTGAAATCATGAGTCAATTGAAGCTAGACCACCATGGAAAACTTGGAAACACTGGACGGCCGTTTCGTTCTATTATGGGACTCCTCAGTGGTAGTGCGTATCCATGATCTCACTGGTTTATTGTGAGATAGTAACTCACCAAAGACAATAGTGAATGTGTCGCTTAATTTGGTGGATTGGTTGAAGTTAGACATTAACACTGTTGGAGTCAGCGGTTTAGAGGTTATGCGTTCACGTGCGAGACCGATAGATCCTAGGTTCGAATCTCGCGAAGCAGGATCAAGAATATGCGCTGCTGAGTAGTCCCACGACAGAACGAAACGGTCTTCCAGTGCTTCCAGGTTCAGCTTCAATTTACTCATGATTTCAACTATAAAATTGCCAAAGTCTCCACAAAAAACCCCTTCTGATAATACAAAATTATAGAATTCATTTGGTTTTGTTTAACTTATATATTCTATTATATCTTGTGGGTTTATGCACCAATTAATATATGACGTTGATGTGTCTGAGATTAACTCTAACGGAATATTCAGCTGAATATTTTGAGTATGCATCGTTCTTTTATTTTTATGGATTTGACTTGTATACCGAATATATGTTCCAAAGGTTCCTCAGACTCTGCATAAGACGTTTTCTAATCTTTGTACAACTTTTTGTGGTTCCCATCGGTTCTTTCCAAGGTATGATTTATTGAACACTTTGTTGCCAATATTAAAGTTTCGGATATTAACATTGTGATTGTACCTATCTACCATTTTGGGTGGCAACATGGTGTTGAAAATGGTTCGAATACGTCTTCCAAACATGGCTACAGTGGGAGACTTAACATCTTGGACAGTTGAGTTCGGAGGGGTTATGTAGGTCGTTAAAAAGTTTGTGATTACCTGACCAGTTGTCCCTTGGCCATAAGATATAACATATTCCCATTGTTGTTAAGGTCTGTAGCTGATCAGTCTCTCATTGATATATGTACATACTGTGCGTACTGCCTCGATACTGCTTTAATTGACAAGCTTTATAAACAGAAATGGATAGTGACTAGCAGTGGAATCCAGTTTTTGACGGGCGCTTTGGATTATTTGGGACTCGATAGCTGAATAGGATATCTTCATAAAATATGAGAACTATACATCAAATACTTCATTTGCAAATCATCCATCAATTGTTCTTTACACTTGCTATAATTTTTCTGACTCAATTCCTTTCTATTTAACTTTCTGTTTTCTTCAACTCGATCTTCTTAGCCTTCTGCTGACAAGTTTCCCACTTCTGTTTGGTGTTGCATACTACTTATATCTGTCGATATAAGTAGCATACACCACAATGGTATAGTATATGGTCAACAAAGTTATAGTATTAGAACTCTTAGTGCTGTTTGTTTGTACTGAAATTTTTTTTATGTCGTTCATATAAGCCCATTATAATTGAATGTGTTCGTGTCGTGTCCCGTAGACTGTTGTATATTTCTCTCATAGTTGATTCAAAGACGACAGGAACCACAACAAATCAAGGTATTAATACTTATTTATTTATTTATTTAAACACATAAATATTGGTACAAGGAGGCATCAGAAATATATGCGCCACAAGAAACAATGAGAATGGGAAGAGAAAAGGGGTAAGGTGTATATAAGAAAAAGAGAAGGAACAACGGGAATCACAGAGTGTATGTTAGTGTGTAGCGTCGTGCTCATACGGCAAGTTATCCAATTATGTTGTCGGCGTAAATCTGATTCTGTCTATACTCGTATATAATAAATGACTTTATCCGCGTTGGTGAACAACGGAGTTAAATACGTCAAATACGAGAATAGATTTAGAATACATATATTTTCTACAGTCATTGATCTGGCCAGAGAATCAGAGTGATGAAGCGAATAAAAGCGAACGAAGCGAAAGATCATACGCAATGGAGATTGGCTGCAAAGCCAACTCGAGAGTGAAGCGAAAGATAATGCGTACTGGAGATGGCTGGGAAGCCAACTCGATTTAAGCAAGCGTTAATCAACATTTATAGTCGGACAAAAATGATTGACAGACATATGATGAATAAGATACGAAGTGTACACATATGCTCATATAAAAGTATAGTCAAGGTTAATAAGCAAATGATTAACAAGATCAAAATATGACTCATAATGGATAGGCGAATTGGTTTGGCCAGCAACTAGAATAAAGTATATGGGCTTAACATAAAAACTGATACTACAAGTGTAAAAATAAGAGCAATAATGGAGGAAACTGAAATGTACAACCAGAAGACTCTTTCAGTTAAGGAAGTTATGAATACTATTTATAAAGGAAGTAAAAGAAGGTTACAGCAGGATCGCGATTGTTTTCTATTCTGAGCCATATCTGATAACGTCTCTAGCCACTGTGTTGCACCATCTCTCGGACCCCAACCAGGGAGTCATGAAGGACCAACAGCATTCAGCCCTTTACATATTTCTTTCATACCACAACACCATGTCATACACTGACCTCCTCTCCGCCTTTTCCAACCAGTCCCAGCATCGGCAAATAATGCATGACGTGGAATTCTCTGGGACGATATTCGTAGGACATGTCCAAACCACCGAAGTCGGTGTTTCAAGATGGTGACTCTAATTGGATTATCGTCTCTGTGCCCGAACACACGATGCCGAACCTCTGCACTACTAACATGGTGCTACCACTGGATGTCAGCAATCCTTCGGAGACAACGATGATCGAACACAGAGAGACGTCTAACATCCTCAACTCGGAGAGGCCAGGTTTCAAAAGCATTGATACTATTCATTATTGTTTTCAGTTTCGAACTTTCCGTAGTTAATTCTGTAAACTATAATCACTATACACAAGCGATTGAGACTTTCGATTTTTATTATGAAAGTTCTATCTTATGTAATCATTCATAAACAAAGATGAATAGTGGCTAGCAATGGAATTCAGGACGTGCATTTCGTCCTATTTGGGACTCGTCGGCTAGATGTATTTGCATCCCAGAGTTGATTTTCACTCCGGGACTCAAACCCAATACCATCCAGTTTCAAACTCCATCGCGCTATCCATTAGGTTATAAACAAACAATAACAAGTGAATCATAATCATTTATTTTGAAAAAAATCACGAATATATCGATAAGATCAAAATTCTATAGTCTAATTAATTACAGTACAAGGTTCACACCATTTTCAAAGGGTCAAAATCCATCTACTATCAAATTGATCTATACATTAATATGTAAGTTGTATTTGTTACATATTAATCTCATTTAGGGTGTCATTAAAAATCATGGAGAAGTTTCTAGCTGTTCAATCATAGCATAGGATTCTTTAGTATAGTGCACGCAAGACCATAACAGGAATCGAACCTAGGACCATTATATAACATGGTGAATGATTACATTTAAGAACTATTGGTTATGTAAAATTTTAATGACAATCCATTGATGATATTGTAGACAATCAATGTTGATGATTTATGTCGAATGATTGGAGGCCTACTCGAGTAGGATGGGAATGGTGTAACGAACAAGCCAACTTCGAAGTCACAT